CCTACATAAAACTTTCCCTTATGTCACGGAGTTCTCCAAACTTCCTCTTCTTTGTGTAGAAACATAACTAAGTACACAGAGAAGACAATCCAGTCTTCATATGATTCAGGTTCCCCATTTTATTCATGGAAAACAAGTGGGGGGATGGTTGTGTGTGTGTGTGTTTTTAACTCTCAGCTGCTTTCTTCCTCCCGCCTCACCTTCAACTAAAAGATTTTAGCAACTTTGCTGTGTTCCATCATTATCCAAAAGTCTCAGCGATCCTCCATTCTCGCCTGGATGCAACTTCTTCTATACACGCTGCTGAGGCAGCATTGTTCTGCCTTGTCCACTCCTCTGTAGAACCACGTGGACAGGACTGGCAACCAAAAGAGACGGGAAGGACAACCCCAAGAATGTGTTTAAGCCTTAGTTGAGTTAACAAAAAGGGAATTTCACTACAGTGAAAGAATGAAGCTTGTCTCTGAGACTCACGTTCCAGGAGGAATCATATTCTACCCATGACCAGGACAAATAGGCTTTTCTTCAGGCATATTCTGCATATGTCATTCCTTTCTCTTAAAACACCTGAAGTTCAAGTCATTATAGTTTGACATTCAAGGTCACAATCTGTTCCTTGCCTACTTTCAAACATTATTTCTCAGCCACCTGCTGTAATTCTCCCTTCTAGATCACTAGCTATTCCACTGGTTCCCCCCAAAAGACTTTGTAGATTCCTAATTCTACGTCCTTCCCTCAGATGATCCTCTGGCAAAAGTTCTGCATCAATCTTGAGATGGCCAATGCCAGGCTCCAAACTTGGCACACATTTAGGACTTAGGATGATTTACCGAACAATGAAAGTGTAAATATGACAGATATCTGTAAACCAATTTTAAGTCTTTCATAGTTTGACCCAAGGAGGAGCCCACAAAAAAGTAACTCGGTTAGGTCAAGTACTATAGGTGCCCATGGGAACAGTGTAATTTACTTTGATTCTAATATACACCCATTTTTTTCACATTTCAATGTTTCACTGCTTTTCTATTTAATGTAGAAATGTTTTTGTCCTGAAACCATGTTCTTAAATCCATCATACAACAGATAGCATTCCGGAATCAAGGAAGCACAGTAAGTGGCCCATGTTGTCTCCTTTGTGGGTCCATCAGGGGAGGGACTGTACAGATTACATCTGCCCCAACCATTCATCAACTCCAGCCCCTCCTCCGGCATTGGGCTCTCATTGGGACCCCTAGCTTTGTAGCTCATTATCACACAAGAAGATAGAGACAGAAAATATAGCTCTGCTGAATAGAAGTATAGGGACATACTGAGCGGACAGCTTCAGCATGAGTCAAGGAGAAGCAGGATCTGTGTAGTGACTACCCCATAGCCTCATGCAAGCCATGAACCTGCTCTCTACCAGTTCCCTTAGCATGAATGTCAGAAAGAAAGCACCAACTGGGACTCTGTAAATATTATAAAGTTCAAACCTGACTTATGATCTCAAGTCATAGTCTCACTTCCCCTTTCTCCTTTCCTTTGGAAATCATCTCTAAAGGGCACTTGTCTTGTGATGCTTCATGGTCTTCACCCCCGTGGTGTCACCCAGAGACAACACTACATATCCTCTTTCGTTTTGTATCACTGTAGGTTGTCAGGGATCCATGATGCAAGATGACACTTCATCTCCTAGATAAATGACTACTTATTGTCATTATTAGCATGCCCCAAGCATTCCACCCATTGTCTCTCTCCAAAACCCTACTAAAGAGAATGTGGACACACTTGACCTTCATTGAGAAGCACAGAGGTAGCCCTCTGAGGCATGGTCTTCCTCCCAGCAGATGCAATATCATGCTGTGTTCTCTTCTCCCAGAATTCAACCACAGATCATGGCCGACAGAAGAAGAGTGACAGGTCAAAGTCTATTCGCACATTATCTCAAAATGCCTCCCCAAACCACCACAGTCTATTACAACACTAAAGCCAAGCTGAGCTACTATCCTAATGGATATAATTCATTAACTTTTTCTATTTCTTCTCATTCACTCATTCTGCCTTAAAAGATATAAGAGAGGAAGGGATCAGAGGAGGGCCCTTTGTTGGATCCCAATTAGGAGGACACTGGTCTACAGGAAAGAAGCGGTGGACAAACAGGAGCTGGGCTATCTCTGTCCACTTTTGGCTTCACTTTTTACGTTGTGTGCATGTCTAGATTAAGCACCTTCTGGCCCCCTCACTAAATCTCTGAAACAGAATAAAATGAGCACTGCTCCTTCCCACTCACCCTAATGTTACAAACACTGGTTGGATGCCATCTTCTTTGAGTTTTTTGGTAAAAGATATAAGATTTAAAAAAACACATGGTTTACATGGGTCTTCTTGTTAATCATAAGTAACCAGCCCCACTGGACAGAGGTAGGATGCTCTGGGGTACCGGAAGACTGAGCAGTAAGTGGAATTTTTAATTGTGAGTCATTATAACCATAATTGTGATAAGCAGAAAGCCTGCAAGAATGTGATTCAATCTGATGGACACTGAAAACTAGTCCAAAGCACTCTGCTTTCCTCACCCAACACGGCCTCCTCCTGTGCGGAGGAAGCAGGTTTATAAAGCCAGGGAAATGACAAAATAGTGAAGTGAGATGGGCAGGGCTGGCCACGGTCACCAGAGTTAAATTCCTCCCTTTATGGCTACCTCTCTACTTTGATGAAACATTTTAGGAGAAAGTTATGGACAAATGACAAGATGCTTAATCTTCCATAAAATGAAGCATTTCAGTATGTGTCATCACTGGCATTATTTCTAGAACTCCATCCATTTTTGTTGTACAAACACAATCAGTGCAAAACTATAATTATTGGGCTGGAAAATAACAAATATCTCCAGAATGTGCTGAGACTTGTTACAAAAAATACTTGAAGGAACAATACATATCACTTCAAGTACCTGATTCCTTCATTGGCACAGCACAACTCTCACGTCCACTGGTTAACTGGTTAAAAAAAATAACCGTGGTAAGACTTTTCAATGGCCCTATTCCTTGGACCAACAGGAAAAAAAAAAAGGCCTAGTGACCTAGAGACTGCTGTCTTTTTTTTTTTTTTCCCAGAGAGTGTTAAGAGACCTTTGGGGTAAATCTTGCAAGAACTGTGCCCAATAAACAAGCACATACATTATAGAGTTACATCACCAGCTGACATCCAAGAAGTCAAAGGTTAATTGCTATGGTTTACAGAACCATTCCAAATGACCCTGTGCAAGAAGATTTAACTCAACAACTGTTTGAACTTTACAGGCTGAAATTTCATCTACTTGTTTCATGAGTACTTTTTAATTACTCCACTGGGGATATTAATAATGTTTTCTTTTTTTAATTACTTTCTGGAAGGGATAGGGGTTTCATGTTACCCCTCTTCTTTGAGATAACTAAGCCCCTGCCTGGCTAGCCCTGGGGACTTTTATTTTCTTTACTGTAAGTAATTAAGGTAGAAAACAGAGATCTCAAGAGTTATCAAGATAGTCTTCTGACAACTCAGGATCTGGAATCAGGCTACTTGGTTCAAATTCCAACTCTACCATTTATTAGCCAGCTGTGTTTCCTCACCTAGAAAGTAGGAATAATAATAGTACTGACCCTTATGTCTATTGGAAGAATGAAACAGACAGTGTATATGGATATTTACCTTGGAGTTTGGCTCATGGTAAACATTCAAATAACATTGTTTTTATAACATTTTTTAAAAATACTATTGTTTTGACTATAAGGACAATTTTGGAATTGTGTTCTCTGATCCCACAGTGAAGAAGGTAGAAATGACATAGGAATAGTAACATTCTATTTCATACCTAGTACAGTGCCTGGAGGCGGTCACAATTTCTCTAACCTGCCTAACTTGCCAAGTACCAGCCTGAATTTACTAAGCACCTTTGCAATTAACAGACAAACACTGGGTGCCCTGTTGAATACTCAAAGCATTGGTAGAGCCAGAGCCCCAGGGAAGTGACAATTCAGTGAGGGGAAGAAACACACACACACAGCTCCAGTGCTGCCGTGTGCCATTAAGACAGCAAGATACATGTGCAAGTTCTTACATCTTTTACAGTGGACAGAAGAAAGCCCTGAGTTTGTGGAAAGGTACAAATGCATGGATTTCCTGGAAGGTAAGACAGCAAATCAGTGAGAGCCACAGATTGGCCCCAAATGGAGGTGCTCTTGTAGCAGTAACCTGACTTAAAGAAGGGGAGCAGAAGGCCAGTAACATCAAAGAAGGGCTACTTAGCTTTGGAATGCCACCAGAATTGCAATGTTAGAATATGAGAATGTTTCAGTTGAGAGGAAACCTTAAAAAGCCTCCTTGCAACTCAATCCTCTTACAGCAGGGAAAGCAAGGCCTGCACCCTGAATGATGCCCTCCCCACTGTACCTCTCAGGTTGCCAGAAGAAGGGGCAGCAAGGCTGGGGGAAGAGGGCAAGGGTATCCCCAGAAAGGGGTGGCCACTAATAATGACCACCTAGGAAACAGCCTCCATCACTCGTGACTCTTAGTTCTTCCTCTCAAATTGCTTCCTCCCCCTCCCATGTCTCGTGGACATCACAGACACAAAACACAAAAAATCAGAAATCTAAGGACCTGCCTCCCAGCCAATGCCCCAATCTGGGCCCTTCCTGCTTTCTTCCTGACCTGCTGGCCACAACCACAGGTGGCCTCCAGAATTCATCCGAATGAGAAATGCTTAGCTTTTCTGAACCATCTTATTTGGATCATTCATCTCAGGTCACCTTAAGGGGCAGGGAGAGGACTGAGGTCTTCAGGGAACAAAACCTGAGTCAGCTGTGTACCTGGATGCGTGCAGCTGGGGCTGGAGCAGGTGTGTTGGGAGTCAGCGTACTCCAAGTTCAGCTGCGGAGACGCCGACTCCCAGCCACAAAGGGTCACTAGCCCACTAAGGGAGATGGTTCCCGCTGCCTGCAAATGAGCTGCCCAAACCCCAGTCCGCAGACATCACCGCTTACCTTGACCCAGGAGACAGCGTAAGAAACCAGCGGGTTCCAGGGGGCGGTGCAGGGCAAGTCCACATCCTCGGAACAAGCCACCTTCACCTCCCTCATTGCGGGCGCCAGGCTACAGGCTGCAAGAAAAAGAGAGAGAGCGCGGTGAGCCAGCGCCAACAGCGGGTGTCGCGGAGAGGCAGGGGGCGACAAGCGCTCCAGGGCCCTACCGCAGCTCAGGAGAAGGAGTTGGAGGCCGCGCGACATGGCTGGAGCGCTGCGCCGCCGCCTTGGGGCTGCCGGCTTGTGGCGCGCCGGCTCCTGGCCGCGCTCTTGTACCCCTCCGGGACGGGGACTTCCCCGCGCGCAGGCCACCGGGATTCCCCGCCGGGACGGAAGCGGCAGCGCGGCCTCCCCGCCCCGCCTCCGCGCGACAGCCCGGGCCTCGTGTCCGCGTCCCCACCCCCCGTCGCCCCGCCCCTGCGGCTTGGCTCTAAGGCGGACGCTCGGCCTCTTAACCGCACAGACGCTTTATTTCGTGTACTTCATATTATCGGCGGCATACCAAGGGGGGGGCGCATACCGAGTGCGGGGAAATGGCTACTGTTTGGCTAAAATGCTGCATCATACATGAACCAATTCACATAATGCCTGACCTACCAATAGTGATTAAGTATGCGCTCCATATTTTAAACTATTTTAAACATGGTAAATATAAAATCAGGGTAAACAAAAGAAACTTTCTTTTTTAGGTATTTGACTGGAGGACAAAGAGCGAAACATATTGACTTCCCAGACCCAAGGGAAATGTCTAAGGGGTCCTGGGTGGATGGTTGAAAATATTTGGAGAAAATGAAGATCCTATATTCTTTATCTCTATTTGCCCAGGACCTATTTCCAGCGTAAACAAAGTCAGCAAACTTCCTTGTAGTTTGAACCACATTACTTTAGTAACTAAAATGAGAACAAACTTTAGGCCCTAGAACCAATTTTTAGGGCTATTTCTTCTCCCAGTCACCACATGGTTTTGTTTTATAGACTTTCAACCTTGCAAATAACTTGAGCCAGCCGTGTGTAACTTTTAAATCTAAAAGAACTTATTCTGAAAAACCTGATGTATAGGCATTCCTGTACATGAGTATAGATAAATCGTGTGCTCGTGTGATAAATTGTACTGGTGTGCAATTTCTTTTTAAATGCTCCAGTAAAACAAAAGTAAAAGTATACTTTAGAATTACTTTCCACAGATGCATGCCAGTGGGTTGAGGTCAGAGATCCTAATGGGCCACCACCACTTATGGCTGCTGTGGCTGTGCACCAGGGACAGCAATTCCCATGTCACACCCAGTTTCTGAGGCTTTTGCAAACTGTGTTGTGTGCAGGATACTGCTGGTGACCTTTAAAACAAAGCTGGGAACCATGCTATCTGAACTGGTTACACCCATTTTGCAGAGGTGAAACCAGGGAGGGTGTTCAGCTTCCCCAGAAGCTCAGTTGGTGAACTGAAATCCTCGCTTTTCTCTAGGTTCTGTGATAATCAAAGACTCATTAGATTTCTATAGGAGCAGGATAAGTCTTTAGTACTTGGCCTTGGCTCCCTGCCTTCCATGGTGTGTGTAGGGAAGGTAGCAGTCAAAAATCATTGGACCTGTTTAAATTATTTCAGCAAAAGAGAGCTCCTATTATGTTACTAGAGGTATACACACATGCAATTTTGGAAAAGACAAACAAAAAAAGAATTCTGGAAGACAATGAAATCACCTATAATTCATTCAGAATTAATTTCTGTTAACATTTTGTTACTTCAGTGCATAGATTGGTATTTTTCATGGTTTACTAATTAAGCTGTTTTGTAACCTACTTTGTTTTTTAGTTTAACATTTTTAAGCAGGTCCACATCATTAAAATAACTTTTAACAGCATCGTTTTGGTGGCTGCATTGTAATCCATGGTGCAATTATACCATAAATTAGAGCCAATTAGATAATGGTAGACATGGATGTTGTTTCTTTTTGTATTACCAATATATCTAACTGTTGTGATTGCTTTGATGAACTTTGATGTACATAAGTCGTTGCTCTAATACTGCTTATTTTATTAGAATACATATCTAGAGGAAATTATGCTAGGTCAAAGGGAGTTTCCAATATTGCCAAATTACCACCAAGGAGTTGTCCTCATTCTGTATTACCACCTGCAATTCAGGAGAGTACCTGTTTCCCAGAATTCCTGCCAACACAAACTGTGATCTAGCTTTTCTATCTTGTCCATCCAAGAGCTTAAAAAGAGTGGTGTCACCATAAAATTTTAATTTGCCCTTGGAAGTGGTACCAGTTGACAGTTGACAGTCACTCCAGCCATGTGTGAATGCTTTTTCCAGGTAATCCTCACTAAGTTAAATTTTAAATTAGGTAATTTTCAACCGTACAGAAGCACGTTTAGAAAATGATAGTATCAAAAATATGTGTTATACATCTACTTTGAAGAAATTAAATACTACTAATATTTCTGAGCCTTCCTATTTGCCTTCGGCCCAATCCCCTACCTGGGAATTTAGCGCCCTTCCAATTTTTTCCATTATAAACAATGTTGCAGTGAAGCGGAAGGTGTTTCTACCCCTCTGGCTCAGCAATTCCACTGCATTATTAAATATTGCCTTCTTGTCCTCCAAAATGCCTGTAGCCATTTACAGTGCCCTCAGCAGCCCTGAGCATGGTCAG